ACAATGACAACAGAAGGGGTCCAAGAATGGAGCCTTGCGGGACCCCACAGGAAAGAGGGACAGAAGCATATAAATGATTGCTAAAATTAACACAAAAACTCCTGTCACTCAGATATGAATGGAACCATTCTAGCGCCGTACCTGTAATCCCAACCCAGTGTTGTAGCCGTGACATAAGGATGCTGTGATCAACAGTGTCGACTGCAGCGGTAAGGTCGAGGAGTACCAGGATCACAGACTGATCAGAGTCTGCTAGCAGAATGTCATTACAGACCCTTACTAAAGCTGTCTCGGTTCTGTGTAGTTGTTTAAATCCTGACTTAAAAATCTCAAAAATTCCATTTACATTCAAAAACTTGGTTAGTTGACTAAAAACTATTTTCTCCAAGGTTTTAGAAAGAAATGGAAGATTTGAGAATGGTCTGAAGTTCGAACAAGTTGCAGGGTCAAGTCCGGGTTTTTTAATTAATGGAGTTACCACTGCATGTTTAAAAACATCAGGAACCACACCTGTAGCGAAACTGCTGTTAATAATGGCAAGAACAGAGGGTCCAGTTGATGGTAGAACCTGTTAAAAAAACACTGCAGGGATGGGATTAGCAGGGGAGCCTGAGGGCTTCATGTGACCAACGGGAGGTGCAGGCTCACAAATCAAAGAGGTGTTGAATAAAACCAGTTTGTGGTCAGAAAAAATAGTGTCACCAATTTCTAAATCAACAAAGTCCATGCTCAATAATCCAGGTATACAATCCAACATTTTTCAGTCAGGTCATCTGGACAGTTTCTTTTTTTGTGCTGAAACGTTCGCCTTAGATCCGGAAGGCTTCATCAGTCAAGGAAACACACAACAAAACTGATTCTTCCCCCAACAGCTTACTGTTACATGGACTTTATTGTTTACAACCAGTTTGACAAGACAGTCAACAAGGAAGAGGGTCAGCAATGGAGGAGTGGCATACCAAAGAGACTATTTTATCACAAGCAGAACTGGTTTGTTCCACTTTGGAGTATGCTGTTGGGGGATGAATCAGTGTTGTTGTGCATTTCCTTGACTGATGAAGCCTTCCGAATGGACTTTGTAAGGGAGGGTGGGAAGGCTGCCTGGTTGGGGTCTGGGCTGTGGGTGGGTGTTGGGCCTTGGGGGGCGATTGGGGGTGGGGCCGGTGCTCTGGTTCTCCCTGGGTTGTTTGGATCTTTTGATCAGGGTTCCTGGTTGCAATGACCGGCCCTTTGGTTGGGGTGGCTGCCGGGTTCTGGCGGGGGGTTGGCTGTGGTTGTGTGTGTGTGGTCGTTGGTGGTGCATGGAGGCGGTCGGGGGCGTGGCTTCGCTTTGACGGGGTGCTGGCTGGTCGGCCTGATGTGACGTTCACGGTGGGGGGTGCTATGTGTATGTGTGTGTGTGTGTGTGTGGGGGGGGGGGGTACATGGGTGGCGTGCCGGGGCCCCTCCGGGCCTGTGGTGTGGGGCTGTAGGGATGCCTGATCCTTGGTGCGCTGGGCCAGCCTTCCTCAGCTGCTGCTCCCTGCTGCTCTGGCCCCCGACTGTCGGGTGGGTGGGGTGCATGGACGACCTGACAGAGGCTCTGTTGGGCTGTCTCTGTGTGCCTGCTTATGTCTCGGATTGGGTTTTAGGTGGTCCCCTCTCTTAGATCAATTTTGGCCCCCCATTTAATGTGGGATCAACTTCCCCCTGTTGTGCTCCCCTCCGGTGGTGGGCCCCCCTGCCGCCGGTGCATTGTCGGCTCTCAGCAGCTGGGGCTGGGTGGTGAGGTGTGTGCAGGCCCGCCCTGGTGGCTGCCTGCTGGGGCCTGGGTGCCCTGGCTCTGTCGGCCTCTGTTGGGGGATGGTATGACCTTGGGGCTCGGTGTCCATGGCCGGATCTACTCTGGAGGGGTGGGTTGCCGGCGGGGCCTGTGGACTCGTTGCTGCAGCCTCCTGGTGTTTCTGCATTGTGGTGGCTGGGAATCGCCCGGGGCTTCCCTTTGCTTCTCTCTCTGGGGGGTGCGGGTGTCCCTGTTGGGGGACTCCCAGCGTTCTGGGCTTGGGGACCGCTGTGTGTCTGTGGTTCCGGTCTTCCCTGTGTTGCCATCGTGTCCTGTGGGGATGGGTCTGTGGGTCCCCATATCCACTATTGAACATTTTTATGGAGAAACCTTATAGTGACAAGCATGCTCACACAGGTGTTTAAATTCAGGTGTTTATACACACTCAGTTGGGTTGTGGAGACCACTAAATATACCTTTTATTACCATGTACTGTATAAAATACTTTCTAATGATGTTATAAGTATCATTATATATGTTGTTTGTTGTTGTGGTTTCTCGGTTTTGTCTTGTCTTTTTTTTCCCGCAGGTCTAGAGGCAGACTTCAATGATGTTGATTTGTGTTCTCTTTATCCCTCTCTCTCTCTCTCCTCTATTCCTATCTCCTTATTTACCTTTTAACCATTCTCTCACTTTTCTGCTTTGTTATCTTCTTTGTTTTTCATGCCCATGTCCATTACATCTGAAACAAGCCCAAAGCAAATTCTAATAAAATTTAATTTATACCATATCATACCAATTTATTTATATAGCACTTAAAACAGCAACAAGGCCAACCAAAGTGCTGTACAAAAGAACACAAACATGCACAGCAGACAGGAAAACATAAAATAGAAATACAGATACAAATAGCAGCAGAAGCTAACTAAAATGGCCAACAGAGTAGAGAACAGACCGGGTCAAAACAAATCACACCGTGTTAAAGGCAAGAGAATAGAAGTGGGTCTTCAAGCGAGACTTAAAGACTGAGAGTGTGGGAGCCTGCCGGACACTCAGTGGCAACTCATTCCACAGTCGTAGACCTGCAACAGAGAAAGCCCTGTCACCTCTGAGCTTACGACGGGTTTCTGGGACTGAGAGAAGCATCTGGTCTGCTGACCTCAGAGAGCGCGGTGGGACATATGGCTGCAGAAGATCAGTGAGATAGGATCAGTGAGATTATATATCAAATGGAGCATTAAGGCCAGCCATAATGCTCTGCTTGTGAAAGTAAATCTGTTGAGCATCACTTTGACACTCAGACAATAATTCTAAGTGTGACAATGCCGGACTGGACAATGGGGAAAAAAAAAAAAAAAAAAAAAAGAATGTCTAGAGGACCTGACTAAACTTTTTTAGATAGGCTTCACTACAATGATCCACACTTTTAATCCAGGTTACACTCTTCCCTCAAGGACGCATTTTACAAAGTAGCTACATATTGTGCAGGTATGAAGCATACACTTGTATATATTTTGTGTACATTTATTTTTTAAGCTATTTTACTAACCTTTTTTTTTTTTTTTTAATTATTCAATATTTTATTAACAGAATAGTCAAGTAGCAACCTGTTTTTTTGTGCGAATTGCTGTCAGTCAAATGTTCAATTTTGGAATAAAGGGGTGGAAATTAAAACAATTGGGTTTTTTTTTCCAATTCATTGATTATTTGAAAATAATCTGCCGATTAATCGATTATTGAAATAATCATTGGTTGCAGCCCTAGTATATTGGTAGAATTCAAAAACGTTCAATACAAATACAACTGGACTTTTTGTATTGAACACATTTGAAGTTATCATGTCCTGGATTACTGAGAATCTTCACCAGCATATATTGGTAGAAGGACGTTAGAAATGCAGCTGCCAGGAAAAAGACAAAGAGGAGATATATGGATGTAGTTAGAGAAGACATGGAGGTAGTTGGAGTGAGGACATAGGATGCAGGAGGATGAATCACTGTGGCGACCCCTGAAGAGAGAAAAGCTGAAAGAAGAAGAAGAAGAAGAAGATGATGAGGTGACTGTACAAAGGCTCCACAAAATTTGTATTAGATGTGTGTGTGTGTGTGTGTGTGTGTGTGTGTGTACTTTGTTCTCTGATCTGCTTTGTGTGTCTCTGATGACTTAGCAATTTTATTTTCTAAATGCGAGACAGGAACTCTAACATTGCTGGTTTATGTCAAAATGAAAGCTGAGGGTACTTAGCAAGATTGTTGACCACAGCAAGACACACACAGACACACACACATGCAATTAGCACTAAGGCAGCACAGTGGCTCAGTTGGTATAGAGCTTTTGCCTCTCAGCAAGAAGGTTGTCAGTTCAAATCCCAGCTGGGGACCTTTCTAGGTGGAGTTTGCATGTTCTCCCCGTGCATGCGTGGGTTTTCTCCATGTACTCCAGTTTCCTCCCACAGACCAAAAACATGCATGTTAGTCTGATTGGTAACTAAATTGTCTCTAAGTGTGAGAGTGAATGATTGTTTGTCTCGTTTGTCTCTATGTGTGTCTGTGATGGACTGGAGACCTGTCCAGGGTATCCCCGCCTCTCGCACAGTAACTGCTGGATATGGGCACCAGTGACCCCCATGACTCAGCATATATCACATTTTTTAACTTTTTTGACAGAAAATCAATTAAAAGCTTTTTAGACTGCCCCTTTATATCTTACATTGTACAGTCTGACATGGGTTAATATCAAGATTTTGTATTATCAGCGTTTGGTTCATCCCGCATCGCCAGTTCTGCTTACCAAAAGTGGCCCACTTGACGGCTCGCATTCCATGCCTGGCTCCAAGCCAGCGAGCCAGGCTTCTTACCCATTTAAAGTTTGAGAATAGGTTGAGATCATTTTGGTCCCAAGACCTCTAGTCATTCGCTTTACCGGATAAAACTGCGATGCTCCGAGCGTCAGGAATCCTGAGGGAACCAGCTACTAAATGGTTCGATTAGTCTTTCACCCCTATATTCAGGTTGGATGACCGATTTGCATGTCAGGACTGCTGCGGGCCTCCACTAGAGTTTCCTCTGGCTTAGCTCTGCCCAGACATAGTTCGCCATCTTTCAGGTCCTACCGCAGTATTACCAAAACTCCATCAGCACATATCTTTATAAGATTGCCTACAGAGATGAGGTGAAATCACTGACCCAGCTAGTGTCAGAAAAATAACCTCTCTCTAAATGTCATCAAAACGTAGGAGATGATAGTGGACTTCAGGAAACAGTGTGGAGGCCAGCACTCCACCATCTACATAAACAATGCTGAGGTGGAGCAGGTCAGCAGCTTCAAGTTCCTCTGAGTTCATGTCACTGAGTATCTGTCCTGGACTTTACACACAGACACTGTGGTCAAAAAAACCCGACAGAGACTCTACTTCCTAAGAAGACTAAAGATGTTTGGTACAAACACCATCATCCTCACCAACTTTTATAGTGCACCATGGAGAGCCTGCTGACAGGCTGCATCACAGGGTGGTATATGAACTGCACCAGTCAAAGCCGGAAAGCTCTACAGAGGGTGGTGCAAACAGCAGAGGACATCACTGGTAGCAGTCTCTACACCATCCAGGACATCTACCACAGCCGATGTCTGCGTAAAGCACGCAGCATCATTAAGGACCACACCCACCCAGCACCAGGACTCTTCCATTCACTACACTCAGGCAGACGATACAGGAGTCTGTCATTGCGCATGAAAAGATTAATGGACAGTTGTTATCCACAAGCTGTCAGATTACTGAACTCTCAATAAATAACACTGAACAACTGGCAATAACATTGCACCAAGCCTCATCTGTGACAACTAATATGACTAATATTAGCTTGTGACAGCAAATATGTTTATTATTTATTGCTGCTGCTCTATGTAGGTTGTATCTAGGCTGATGCTGGGCTGTATCATGTATGATACAGTATCTATGTATCAACCTTACCATCATAATTCAATGTCAATGTCACTACCTGTGCAATAACCTGCCACACAACCTGTGTACGGTAGTATAAGTTAATTATGTGCAATATATATATATATATATATATATATATATATATATATATATAAAATCATGTGCATTTTAGCATTTTAGCTTATATTACTACCTTGAAATACTTTTTCATCCAAATTCATCCTGCTTGCACCATTATATTCTATCATATTGTTATTTACAATTTCTTTAGGACGTTGTAAATATTTACCTTTTCACTTTTTGGTACTTTTTTTGGTACCTTTATTACATGCTTTAGTATTTCTTGTTTGTTTGTTCTTTGATTTTTTTTTTAAGCGAGTCAGATTAGTTCTTCTCATCCTAAGCATTTCATTGTACTATTGACCTTGTGTTAACCTTGCATATGACAAATAAACACAACTTGAACTTGAACTTACATAGCTTGCAAATTGTTAACCAGACCTTACTTGTCACTCTACAATAATTCCCTGTGGATAAGTCATTCCATTGATATGTTGTTTTGATCAAACCTCATATATGTGAGGTTTGATCAAAACAACTACAACTGTTGTTGGTTGTGGTTTTTTTTTTTTGTTGTTGTTTGTTTTTTTTTTCTTCAAAAAAGTATCATAAGAAGTCATGAGGAGAACTGTTCTTTGTGTTCCAGGACAAGAAAACGTTCTTATTCCCACTCTATGCCCTTCATACAATTATTTTCACTAGGAACATTGATGCAATGATAATGAATGGGGTTCTGGAAACAAACACAAAGAACTGAAGGGGGTTGGAGGTGAAAGGGTAACGGAGTGGTGGCTGAATGAAGGGCTCTGTCAGCTCCAGTGTCCACTCCAAATGACTGTTTATTACTTTGATTATTTAAATACTCTTTGTGGAGACATTATGTCCATGCTTCAAACAATTGTAAAAGATAAAACATGTTTTATGTGCCGTATGTAGTCAGTCTATGCTACATTTAAATTTGATGAATATCTGCTGTGTTCTTCTGTGTCTAGACTTATCCTTTTTATCCAGCAGAAGATAATAATCTGCACTCCGTCTTCGCCAACATTTATGTGCCTCAGAAGCTCAATTCTTCTCTTAGTGCATCACTTCAAACCTTCTTTGTTCCATACATGTGAGGTCTTGTTTGAGTACAATTCACTACAAAGATAACACTTATAACGAGGACCAAGACAGGGTCGTATGTGTGAGTTAATACATGTCGTGTATTATAGTTTGCCTCTTTTGTATTATTCAGAGTCAGAGTCAGAGTTTCTTTGTCATTTGCACCTCATGTGGTACATGTGGCGGAGTGAAATTATGTACACAGGGTCCCAGTTACATCCAACAATAAAATGTATAAGAAAAACAGTAATAACATCTAAGATATGAACTAAGAAAAACATCAACTAAATATACACTAAGCACTCATAACATTAAAACATTGAACATCAGCACAAACATGAACATGAGTCTGTGTGAGCGGATGTGCACGCATGAACACATCAACATTGAAACAGATCAGCAGCAACATGAAACAGATCAGCAGCAACATGATGTGATTTTTTTCACAGTGATTATTCTGATTAGAGATTCATGAGTAACAGCCTCAGGGTAGAAGCTGTTCCTCAGTCTAATGGTTCTACACTTAATGCTCCTTAACCTCCTTCCTGAGGGGAGTGGGGCAAAAAGTGTGTGTGCTGGGTGAGTGGGGTCCTTCATGATGCAGGTGGCTCTCTTCCTGCATCTAGAGGTGTAGATGTCTGTGATGGTGGGGAGACTGACTCCAACAGTCTTCTGTGCAGCCTTCACCACTCTCTGCAAAGCTTTTCTTTCTGCAGCTGTGCAGCCTCCATGCCACACGTTGATGCTGGAGCACAGGATGCTCTCCACTGCACACCTGTAGAAGGAGGTGAGGACTGAGCTTCCCAGACCAGCTCGTCTCAGCCGCCTGAGGAAGTAGAGTCTCTGATGAGCTTTCTTGATCAGGCTGGTGGTGTTGTTGCTCCAGCTGAGGTTGTCGTTCATGTGTACACCCAAGTACTTGTAGCTGGAGACCACTTCCACCACAGATCCTCTTATGTTCATGGGGGAGTAGGTGTTTTTGTTCCTTCTGAAGTCCACAATCATCTCCTTTGTCTTCTTCACATTGATGCGAAGAAGAATGTGATTCATTGTCCCTTTTTGGCAAGCTGTGCCACGTTAAGTTCTTGTATAACAGGCTAGACCAGAATATTGGTCTACAAAGTAGCTGTCCAGTTACGAGGTATCTCCATCAAGTTCTGATCTACCCAGTGGAAATAGCTATACCACCAAGGGCTCTGTGGATTGTTGTGGACTCTGCCAAGTGCCACAGGTGGAGAAGACAGAGTTCCCACATGACCTACTCATTTTAGTCTCTCTATTTCCACAAAATTAACATGTTTGGCATCCAGCATCAATGCAAGTATGTGTTTTAATACAGGGGTTATGATCTAAAAAAGTTAAATCTGGTCCTCTGGACATTCAAAAAAACAAAACAAAGCAAATCAACAAAAAATGTAGAAACGTTTCGTCTCTCATCCGAGAGACTTCCTCAGTCTGAGGAGCTGTATTCAGCTCAGTCTCTTAAATAGCACCGTCTCAGAGTGGATCAACCAGTTTTGCTGCTGACAACCAAAACTGGCTGATCACATGCTCAAGAAGGACCATCAGCCTAACAATGGATCATTAGCACAATGATGGCTGTTTACTATTCACAGAGGGCTGAGTGATACTAGCAATCACAGCATTGTAAGAGGGGGACAGTTGAACACGTAGGCCTCCACCCCTGTTTAACGATGGACGATTTCTTTTCACAAAGATGGCCTCCTTTACTCCTCTCTCAAACCATCGTTCCTCTCTGTCCAGGATGTGAACATCTTCATCCCTGAAAGAGTGACCGCTGGCCTGGAGATGAGTGTAGACCGCAGAGTCCTGGCCTGATGATGTTGATCTTCTGTGCTGGGCCATCCTTTTTGCCAGTGGCTGTTTTGTTCCCCCGATGTAGGACTGATCACAGCCCTGCTGACACTGAACAACATACACAACATTGTTCTTTTTGTGCCGGGGGACTGGATCTTTGGGATGAACCAGTCTTTGCCGTAATGTATTTTGGGGTTTAAAAGCCACTGGGACGTTATGTTTAGAAAATAAACGTCTCAGTTTCTCTGATACTCCCTCAACATATGGAATGAC